AAGTTGCGTAGCACAAAGCCGGTTAGACGTTTACAATCAGATACCACCTTATTTGCATGTTCAGTAAAGGTAAGATCTGAGTATGTTATCCCGAGATCTGTGACTGTGTTTGTGTTTGAGACAAGATCACCGTACATGTATAGACACATGCTAGGTTTCCAACGTCCGAAGTATGTTATCCCAGATTTAGCTGGATTGAACGTTAACTGCCACTTTTCACTCCAACTACATAGACTATTTAGGTCTTCTTGGATTTTACTAACAATATTCATATCATTATAGTCAAAATCATAGACAACTTTGAGGTCATCTGCAAAGAGGTATGGCTTGCCATACTTGATCATAGAGACAATATCATTTATGAATACAATGAATAGGGTAGGGCCAAGAACACTACCTTGTATCACGCCGCTGGTTATCGGTTTGGATGTTGATAAGTGATGGTTGACTTTAACTAACTGTTCTCTTCCTGTATGAAAGGAAGTTATCCACTCAAGAAGCCTTCCACTGTCACCCTGTTTTGTCATATTTAGTTGAAACAAGTAGCCTAGAGGGTATGAAAAGACACAAAACAACCAGTCACGTTCCAGGTCACCCGCCAGGAGAGATGGCCAATAAACTCATGGAGAAATCTAAGGGCTCACTTCAATTCAAATTGAAGTACGCGCTGAAGGTGTTGCCTAGTGGGGGCAATGAAAGCTTTGCAATTAAACCATCCATCTCTAAGAACACAACTACGTCAAAATCATCCACCTAACCTGCAAGTCTTCTCCATCATATACTGAACTATGCATTCGGAAGAAGCTCTCAGTGCCATCATCCCTCTCCTCGACTATTTACATCTAACCAGCTGATGACGTTACCGCCCACACTCACTTATATTTTCAGACTCTATTTCCTCATGCCTTAATCTTATCGCACCACTGAGACAGAGTCTATATACTTCTCTTCCAATCTAGCATTACTCAAACGGACCACTCGTTTTTCTTAGCTTTCATCGACTACAACCACCTGAACATTTGTTCGTTTGATCATGCAGTTCTCCCATTATCCTCACCACAGATCGCTCCATTTTTCGTCTTTCTTACTGGCAGGATTATTACTATTATCACCATAACTATGACTGGTCGCTAAATTTGTATGTATGAACCTATTATCCTTTCGACAATGTACCATGATTGGTTCGTAATTGTTATATGTTATGTACGTACATTGTACTTAAGCCTGAAGGGATCTAATCGAAAATAATGCTGTTCGCTTATAATTTTGTCCTAGCATGAGTAGTTAGGCTTGCACATCAAAGTCCCACTGTTGAGTGCATCTGACACTCCTTGCACGTCCTCAAATGCGAATGAGAGTTGGCCGACAGTGGTGAAGGCATGCATGTTCAAAGTATCCCTTCCGAATGCTGTGAGTTTTCGCAAGGTTGTGATTTGAATGCTAATTATGAATTTATCCGTACATTTGAAAAGAGTGACTGACACGGACAAATGAGCCTCGTGTTCCGTCTGGCCAGTGACACACTTGTAAGTAGCCCTTCAAAAACGATTAGGTGGCGGCTGCACTGCCTAATCGTACGCTGGTTGGAAGGTGACTTGGGAAAAATGATCAGAAATACTATTGTGCTTGATGTTAACGTTTGTTCATAGACTTTGTGCCTTGTAACCCCGTCGCTTTACTGTACTGTCGGTAAAGAAACAATCAATCCTAGTAGTCACAATCCATGTTCTGATATTCTCGCGTCGGCTAGCGCACGTAGTATTCTAAGGCACTGATTAGTCTTCTGGAATCGGGATCCTTATCGATCTGGACAATTCGCAGTATCGTATTGGTATGAACATTCCTCTGAGTCGCGAAATGCATGCACTGTCCTCTTAAATTTTGTTTTTAAATGAGTTTATATCAACTCTAATACAACTGGTGACAAAATTAACTATCAGCATTTAAGTCGAACACGAAGATCATGGTGTTTCAAATCAGAGGGTTTCACTTTCTAATCATGTGAATCAGGTGGTTGAGCTGCTTGATAAACTAACAGCATGTGAAATCCACTCAGAGTGGTTAGTTTCAACCACGAGTAGTGGATGGTCGTTATCTGTTAGCGGCGAGATCGTGAATTCGAACCCGGTGATCGAGTGGCGCCGAATCCTCTGAAACTAGGATGACTTGGCTGTCCAGTGTTCCCTGGTTTTCTATTGTTCTCTCACCGATATCACTCGGAGGTCACACCTGAAGTAACCTAATACCTACAAGCGGTCTCTTGAGAATAAGCCTCAACGACTCGTTTCAGTTATGACATTGAAACAAATGGCAAGTGCACACATGTCTGTAATGTGTAAGAATTCCCATTTAAATTTATATATATTTAAATTTCAGAATATGGATTATACGCGGTTAAATTGATTCGTGTGATGAATGGAGAGCGCAACAAAGAATAATAAAAATTAAAATATACAGACGTCAACAACACGCTATATATGAATGGGATAATTCAAAGCGTTGAATCCTGTCTGTTTCCTAGATTTACCGCCAAATTGATATAATTAGGACTGACACGAGGAAACTTAGATCCACAACTGGTATAATGAAGAATAGTCAGTTGTATATCATGCATTCATTCACACAATAGAGATGAGTATCAGCCATGATAATCACACTTGAAATAATGACCTACTTAACATATGGGCCTAATTTTACGGCTTCGCCAAATTTCAATATCATCTTCACAACCCATCCGTACTACATGAATTAACCTAACTTACTGAAATTCGGAAAAATCAAGGAAGATGACACGCCCAGCAGGATGAAATGAAGACATTATATATTTCGTTAGTTAGTTCCTGACGGTTACTTATTGTTACTATTGTTCCTTGGGTCTCGAGTGGAACGTCGGGCTTCAACAACACACTCCATTTCGTCCTATTTTCTCCCATCCTTCTCAGCTTACACCACGACTGCCCACAATCTCTCTCTCATCTCATCACATGGACTCCTCCATATCACCCTAGGACGACCCACTTGTATCTTCCCATTGGGATTCCACTCGACGGCGTGGCGCGCGATGTCACTCGATGGCCTCCTCAATGGGTGCCTGATCAATCCGTCTCCATCTTCTCCTACATATTTGTTGAGCACAAAACGAGAACAAGATACGATCCCGCACACAACCTAGCTATATGGAGAGATTGACTTGAAGCTTTATTTTAATTCCCTCAATATTTGTAATTCTTCAAACACATACTTGGGTTTTTTAATGCAAAGTCGAAATTTCTATATTTCTAAATGCGCTCCACTGAACGACTAGCTACCAGATTGCACACACAAACTGACGTCACAGAGGACAGCAACTTTGTAAATTCACCTTGGATCAAATACATGAAATGTAAATAATACATTTCAGTGCCTGAACAACTGGTGTGTCCTACGTACATAGGAATAGATATATCATCGTCATAATCAAAATATCCGAAAGCGTAGAACTTCAGAATTCTGGCAGGATGCAATTTCATATCAGATTCCACACTGGCCAATCTAGGGAATAGTGACGACAGAGTGCGAACGAATCAATAACCTCGAATACGTGTCGTTCATTGGATTACAAAACCTGCTTGGATTAAAGCCCCATAAGGAAACTCTGCACGAATTGAGGTGCGAATTTCACCCTGATCTCATTTTCAAGTACTGTTTGGACAGTGGACTGATAGCAAGTTACAATTAGGGTTAAGCGCTAGCGTTAAGGCAAGTATTAGGGTTACAGTTAGAGCAAAGACTAGGATTAGAGTGTCTCTTCACTGTCTGTATTCTTCTTGTAGATAAATGTACGCAAACAGGAGAGTATTTCATTGTTCATATCGACTAAACCGTTCTGATAGCTATGAAATTCGAAATTGATTCCTTTCATTGTAGTTGGGAATTGTTTCTCGGTTAAATCAAGGTCATATATTGTCTCTAGTTTGTTTCAGTATTAGTATGTCAGATTTTCCCGTAGACAAATGGCGTTTTATATAGAATCCGTGGCAAGTTTTGTAATCTGACGAATAGTCGGCGTTCAACATCATTGGTGCATTCACATTCCGTGGTCGGTATTCTCTGTGATTATCCGTTTGTTCGATTTAATACACAGAGATAAATTATTAATAACTGGACAACGTCTCGAGCACAACTTATTGCTCATAATCATTGGGAGTAAGCTTGCCTGATATGAAATGAAAATTGCTGATTGATCCCACTATGTGTAGCTTATATCGCAGATGGAAGTCCCTTGTAACCGTTATTTGTATCTTTCGTTTCAATGGAAAAATTCTTGACTTATCCGACTAATTTATTGAAGCTGCGTACGGAATACATTGAACACGCGCAGATGTTAGGCACTTCCACATTTTGAAATGTGACCAAGTCAGAATAGCTTGGTAATAGTTTTAAGTTCGATCACGGATTGATATCAGTTAGAGAACCATTGAGAACCTATGCGAAGTACTGGACAGACGTTTCTTCCCAGTATGGGACTCACCTACAGAGTTTCAAAAAATGAAGACAAATATCCGCCGATGGGAGTGGCAGCTGGTGGTCGCGCTAAATTCACAGGCTGGTAGAAGTTAGAATTCATGGGTCATTAGGTGGGCTCCCAGGGGTTGGGTACTGTCGGTAAGTCTCGAACTTTGACGAAACACTTGTCCAGTACTCCCTACTGCTTTCCAATGGTTCTCTTACTGACATCACTCTGTGATCGAACTTGAAAGAAATGAAATCCCAAGAAACGAACTCTTGGTAGTATTTTTAAAATTGAAGCCTATGAAGTATCTACGAGCACATACTTTTGACTGTCAGATGAACTTCAATCAAGCCGAATCTGAATACTGATATATTAAAGAATAAATTATTAAGTATATCATCGTTTTTAATGTCTCTTTATTCGATATTTGTTAAATTTTCTAATAATGTATTCAATGTTGGATGTTTTGACTTGACGTATAGATCCTTCTATAGGTTCAGTATTTTTTATGCAATGGCCTAACAGCTATCAAATGGGAAGCCTACCTCCAGTATATCAATACTCAAAAGATCATTTGGACATCTACCAGAACGGCAGTATTCACACTGTCTATCCAACAGAATCATCGAATTCCAATTCAATAGTGCGATCGAAATACGGGAAAATGCGTTCGTCGAACCGGAGTAATAATACCAGTTTTCAAAAGCAAAAGTTGCTAGATGACGATGCAGAAGAGAATAATTACGTGTTTGAAACTCTTTCCCACTCTAGTAAGCAGACACCGTCATTCAGACGAAATGAAACACTCAGTGGAAAAATTAGCAGTCGATCAAGTGTTACTCTCAACCAGACTATTATTGGAGAAGAGCAATGTATTTGAAAGCGATTCACACCGCAGCTATTCAACGTCTTACATTCTTGGGAACACAGCTCTTTTTTTGTAATAAAGAGCAGGAACATTCCTTAATTTTGTCACTGTGCTATATAAAATTACATTTTACGGCTCTTGACTGACGCTGGTTGATTTTGCCTGTATCAGATGGTGACAACCTTTCATAAACAGGAAGAAGTCAACTCTTTGGACCAATAGTGGTTTGTTCAAACACCTTCATAACTCTCTAATTCAATCTGAACTTGTGGCTGTTGTGGTCCAAGTGGTCTGAGGGATAACGCTGGGTACTGGGTTCGAGTCTCAGTGGGGGGAACACCATCACTCACTCACTTACTGGGGAGTGAAGTTACATCCCTCTTACTGACGGGTCCCAAATAGGACGAAATACACATCCTGGATTCCATTTCCGCTGCTAGTCGCCATCTACCAAATTATTTGCATCATTCTATCTCATTTTCATGGAGTATGCTTCGTGAGAAATATCCTAACTTAAAAAGCCTCTAATCAAACATTCATTACCTAATATTATGGTAGATCTGAAATTTCCTGACACATCTTCGTGGCCAAGTTAAACTTTAAGCACTACTAGCTACCAATGGAGTGTGATTTCACCAATGACCGTGAGACGTTCGCTGAACAAGTTAGTGAAACCTGACAAATAATGTTTCCATCATCAGTGAAATATGCTTACCGATCGAAGCGTTATGCTATTAAATGGGATATCTGGCAGGTTTCAGCTTAGGTTTGGGAAAGATTAAGTTACTCTTCAAGCCATGGACAAATTAGCGTTAGGGTGACCTAATAAAGGCGACATTAGGGTTGGTTCGAGTTAGATTAGAGTTAGTTGTTATAACTTCGTTGCCAATTTGTTGTAACTGAAATGAACTGAATAAATCCGTTGCTACTTTATGTCTGCGTCTGTTAATTACTATAACGGTAATGGACTTGACTGGCACGCCGATACTTCTGTTTGTCCGTCGTACCTTCCGATTCACTGAGTCACGCAAATATCAAAAGACAAAGGCTGGTTAGCCTGTGACTGTAAGATACTGTTTTATAACCTACTATGTAGCTTAGGTAACAAAACGTGATATTTATGCATTTTGCTTACCATAATAAATATTACGATATAACACTGAGACTTTATCAAAATAAATTTTACCCACAATGGAGTTATACTCTACCACAGTGCACAAGTTCCATTCCTATATCAACAGGGTAATTGAACCACATTCTCTGCATGTGATTATTAAGGTCTTCTAACCCGCATAAACAGGAAGAAATATATGTATATATATTATTGTAAAGTCGGTTCACAACCTTGAGAATGGATTGTTCTTACTGGCTGAAAATGTCTATCCTCATAGTTTGGTGATCCAAGACCAACAAAGACCAAGCTGAGACAAAAGACGATAAATTGATCTCACACACCAAATGACGGTATCCGTGAGAAATGATACATTCACATAGTAACTCCATCACAAGACAAATCACATGATTCGTGAGAAAAGATGATATGCCTTTTTATGCTGGGTTAGGTTCAAGAAAGATTGGGGTTATTTATTGCCAGGGTTAGAAGACGTAAATAATTACGTGCATAGAATGTGGTTCAATTACTCTGTTGATATAAGAATAGAACTTGTGCATTGTGGTAGAGTATAACTCCATTGTGGGTAAAATTTATTTTGATAAGGTCTCACAGTGTTATATGGTAATATTTACTGATGACGTTCCGACCACAATTTATTGATCAAGAAATATTACTGTATAAGACCTTACGAAAACAAATTTTATCCTTAATGGAATTATGCTCTGTTAAAACTCCAACCTGAAACTGAGAGATATTTTTAACACATGTGAGAGCAAGATATCCCCTGTAACACTTTTCTACAGTTTATATGCATTATTTCATAAATATATGCATTCCATACGCAAAAATGCCTCCCTCCTTCACGTGATTGGTGCGTTTGAGGTCATTCGCTGATTGGCGGTGAGTGGTGCTTAAAGTTTAACTTAAATGTATATTATTATAAATGAGTTGAGGATGTAGTTGAAGATTGAACGATCAATTCTTGGTTGTTTGATCAAAACAAACTTCCACAATTTTCGCGGAGGCATCAATCAGCCAGTCATCGTCTCATCGGTCGCTGTTCAAAAGAAGTCAGGACAAAACCGTCAGAAGTAATATTGTGATTTATTATTGTAATATTTGTTCATAGAACTTAGTTGTATAGCCTAGTTGTAAAGTTGGCTATATGTTGGTGTTACAATAAAAAATTCCCGAGTAGACAATCGGTGTTTTGGTTTTGCGTGCGTTATTACTAAGCGATTCTGAGAAACTTCAAGGAACAGCGTGAGTCCCAGCGAAGCAAGAGTTGGGCATTAACGGATGACGAGACGTGGCTGCCAGAGCGTGTCTGCTCACTAGTGTGGGAAAGAGTTTCAAACACGTAATTATTCTCTCTGCATCGTCATCTAGCAACTTTTGCTTTTGAAAACTGGTATTATTACTCCGGTTCGACGAACGCATTTTCCCGTATTTCGATCGCACTATTGAATTGGAATTCGATGATTCTGTTGGATAGACAGTGTGAATACTGCCGTTCTGGTAGATGTCCAAATGATCTTTTGAGTATTGATATACTGGAGGTAGGCTTCCCATTTGATAGCTGTTAGGCCATTGCATAAAAAGTACTGAACCTATAGAAGGATCTATACGTCAAGTCAAAACATCCAACATTGAATACATTATTAGAAAATTTAACAAATATCGAATAAAGAGACATTAAAAACGATGATATACTTAATAATTTATTCTTTAATATATCAGTATTCAGATTCGGCTTGATTGAAGTTCATCTGACAGTCAAAAGTATGTGCTCGTAGATACTTCATAGGCTTCAATTTTAAAAATACTACCAAGAGTTCGTTTCTTGGGATTTCATTTCTTTCAAGTTCGATCACAGAGTGATGTCAGTAAGAGAACCATTGGAAAGCAGTAGGGAGTACTGGACAAGTGTTTCGTCAAAGTTCGAGACTTACCGACAGTACCCAACCCCTGGGAGCCCACCTAATGACCCATGAATTCTAACTTCTACCAGCCTGTGAATTTAGCGCGACCACCAGCTGCCACTCCCATCGGCGGATATTTGTCTTCATTTTTTGAAACTCTGTAGGTGAGTCCCATACTGGGAAGAAACGTCTGTCCAGTACTTCGCATAGGTTCTCAATGGTTCTCTAACTGATATCAATCCGTGATCGAACTTAAAACTATTACCAAGCTATTCTGACTTGGTCACATTTCAAAATGTGGAAGTGCCTAACATCTGCGCGTGTTCAATGTATTCCGTACGCAGCTTCAATAAATTAGTCGGATAAGTCAAGAATTTTTCCATTGAAACGAAAGATACAAATAACGGTTACAAGGGACTTCCATCTGCGATATAAGCTACACATAGTGGGATCAATCAGCAATTTTCATTTCATATCAGGCAAGCTTACTCCCAATGATTATGAGCAATAAGTTGTGCTCGAGACGTTGTCCAGTTATTAATAATTTATCTCTGTGTATTAAATCGAACAAACGGATAATCACAGAGAATACCGACCACGGAATGTGAATGCACCAATGATGTTGAACGCCGACTATTCGTCAGATTACAAAACTTGCCACGGATTCTATATAAAACGCCATTTGTCTACGGGAAAATCTGACATACTAATACTGAAACAAACTAGAGACAATATATGACCTTGATTTAACCGAGAAACAATTCCCAACTACAATGAAAGGAATCAATTTCGAATTTCATAGCTATCAGAACGGTTTAGTCGATATGAACAATGAAATACTCTCCTGTTTGCGTACATTTATCTACAAGAAGAATACAGACAGTGAAGAGACACTCTAATCCTAGTCTTTGCTCTAACTGTAACCCTAATACTTGCCTTAACGCTAGCGCTTAACCCTAATTGTAACTTGCTATCGGTCCACTGTCCAAACAGTACTTGAAAATGAGATCAGGGTGAAATTCGCACCTCAATTCGTGCAGAGTTTCCTTATGGGGCTTTAATCCAAGCAGGTTTTGTAATCCAATGAACGACACGTATTCGAGGTTATTGATTCGTTCGCACTCTGTCGTCACTATTCCCTAGATTGGCCAGTGTGGAATCTGATATGAAATTGCATCCTGCCAGAATTCTGAAGTTCTACGCTTTCGGATATTTTGATTATGACGATGATATATCTATTCCTATGTACGTAGGACACACCAGTTGTTCAGGCACTGAAATGTATTATTTACATTTCATGTATTTGATCCAAGGTGAATTTACAAAGTTGCTGTCCTCTGTGACGTCAGTTTGTGTGTGCAATCTGGTAGCTAGTCGTTCAGTGGAGCGCATTTAGAAATATAGAAATTTCGACTTTGCATTAAAAAACCCAAGTATGTGTTTGAAGAATTACAAATATTGAGGGAATTAAAATAAAGCTTCAAGTCAATCTCTCCATATAGCTAGGTTGTGTGCGGGATCGTATCTTGTTCTCGTTTTGTGCTCAACAAATATGTAGGAGAAGATGGAGACGGATTGATCAGGCACCCATTGAGGAGGCCATCGAGTGACATCGCGCGCCACGCCGTCGAGTGGAATCCCAATGGGAAGATACAAGTGGGTCGTCCTAGGGTGATATGGAGGAGTCCATGTGATGAGATGAGAGAGAGATTGTGGGCAGTCGTGGTGTAAGCTGAGAAGGATGGGAGAAAATAGGACGAAATGGAGTGTGTTGTTGAAGCCCGACGTTCCACTCGAGACCCAAGGAACAATAGTAACAATAAGTAACCGTCAGGAACTAACTAACGAAATATATAATGTCTTCATTTCATCCTGCTGGGCGTGTCATCTTCCTTGATTTTTCCGAATTTCAGTAAGTTAGATTAATTCATGTAGTACGGATGGGTTGTGAAGATGATATTGAAATTTGGCGAAGC